AAACCAGAAGTAGCGCTGTAGCTCAAGTTGTAGAGTGCTAGAGCGCTCGCCTTGAGCTGAGGCTCTCAGGGACAGCGCCCAAGCCCAGAGTTCAAGCCCCACGACTGACAGAAAAAAAAAAAAAGACTCAGGTTTAACAACTTGAGCCATACCTCCAGTTCTGGCTTTTTGCTGGTTACTTGAAGATAAGAGTTTCATGGAGCTGGGTGCTGGTGACCCACGTCTATAATCCTAGTGAGAGCCTGATGTAGAGCCGTGGCTCAAGTGGTAGAGTGCCAGCCTTGAATATAAAAGCTAAGGGAAGCCGGGCGCTGGTGGCTCACGCCTGTAATCCTAGCTACTCAGGAGGCTGAGATCTGAGGATCGCGGTTCAAAGCCAGCCCGGGCAGGAGAGACTGTGAGACTCCTATCTCCAATAAACCACCAGAAAACCGGAAGTGGCGCTGTAGCTCAGTGGTAGAGCGCTCGCCTTGAGCTGAAGAGCTGAGGGACAGCGCCCAGGCCCAGAGTTCAAGCCCCACGACCGACAAAAAAAAAAAAAAAAGCTAAGGGACAACACTTAGGCCCTGAGTTCAAGTCCCAGTTCATACATACATACATACACCAAAACAAAAAAAAACAAAAAAAGGGAATTGTGACTTTAACAGTCATTTGCAGCCAAAATTACTGCAAGAATAACCCCGGTAGAGCAACCAAAGAAGCATCAGGCCAGAAGGGTGACAGAGAGCGGGCTCCTGGGACCCCCGGGGGGGGGGGCTTGTGGAATGTGCTCCTGGAGCTCTTGAGGCTGAGCCAACTTGGTGCGTACTGCACATGATACAAGAGGCCTGTCCAGCACTGCTAGGCCCAGGACCCTTCATCTGGGAGGTCAGGGGACTAAGGGAGAGATGGGCTGCAGGGAAGCGCAGCAGCAGGCAGCGGGGTGATCTTCTAGAAGGCCCTGAGTATTGGAGGCAGCAGGAGTGTCCCCACCCAGACTGCCCTTCTGGCTTCGGGTGACTCAGGATTTGCCAACAAGTCTGGGTGTGCTGAGGCAAGCTCCAGCCCCCCCTCCTCCCCCCTGCGGGCAATGCTGGCCAGCCCGAGTGAGGCAAGCTTCCTTTTGCCACCTTCTTCTGAGGATGACAGCCGGCCTTCATCCAGAGGGCTCACTGCAGGGCCTGCCCGTGGTCCGCACACTCCTGATCCCTGGCAGATTAGAGCCTTCCCTCCCGACTCTCCCCCGCCCCCCAGTGCCCTGGGGCAGGCATTCGGAGGCTCATCATCATCCTGCGGGCTGCAGCCTACCCCTGGCAGCCTGAGGTCCTTGGCCTCACAGGTTTGACAATCGTGACTCATACCCCAGCCTCCTCTCCCCTTGGCTCCCCCGCTCGGCTGTGCTTGTTCATGGCTGGTGCTCTACCACTTGAGCCATGCTTCCTGCCTGTCTTTTTATGCTTCTTTAGGGAGGGAGTCTCAAGGACTGGCTTTGAACTGTGATCCTCTGGGCCTCAAGCCTCAGGCCTTCACGCAGTCAGTCTTCTGTCAGGCTGGGGTGACTTCTTGGGCCTGGGCTGGTTTTGCCCGGGAGACAGGGACGGTGATGGAAACTGTCTAGAGCAAGTGGCTGGGTTTGAACTCGGGTCTGCTGGCCCCTTCCTGTTGGGTGCCCAGCTTTACTTAAGGGCCTGCCACTGAAGGGAGAGGTGAGCAGGAGGAGGGGGGCAGGAAGATCTCTGGGTGTCCTGGCTGGGCCCCAGTGCCTCACCGCCCGCCTCTCTGTGCTCAGCCTGGGCAGGCAGCGCGGTCACTTCCCGCTACTCTGCGTGTCTGCAAGCTCTGCCGCTTGCCAGTGCAATGCTCTGCAGCTGTCAGGGCGCCACTGTCCCACATGGACCCAGGGCGTGCCAGCGTGGCCCGGCACAGCTCAGCAGCTAGGCCCGCCCGGGCCCACCGCCTGCAGAGGAAGCTCCCAGCCTTCTCAATTGTGCCCACGTTGGGGCGGGGGAGAACTATTCCAACCTGGGGAAGCCCTGCAGCCCCCCCCAAAGGTGATCCCCAAGCCTGGGGGACAGACAGATGCCCTGTGGAAGGTCTGCTGCCGGCCTCGCAGTTTGCAAATCAGTCTTTAATAGTGTGACACCCCCCCCCCCCACCGAGTCTCTCCCAAATGAGAGTTCAAACCCAAATGAGAGCAGGGGGAGGGACAAGCATGGGAGCACCCCCCCTTCATTTTGTTGTTGCTGTTGTTTTAACAGAGGGAGCCTAGGCTGAGACACAAACAATGAAGTGTGAGGGAATGCCAGAGAAACAAAACCCAGCTCCGGAACGCAGGGCTTCCTGAGATGCCTGCCCAGATCATGAGGAGGGAAACACAAGTTGTGTTGTTTGTCCTCTGCAGAAGATGTGGGCGAGGTTGGCACCACTCCCCTCCCCCCCCCCCGTGTGCTGTGTGTCCTCAGGGTCAGCCCGGATGACCCCCCTTTCTCCGCCCCTCCCTCCAGTGTGTGGACTAGGGCTGCCAGTGACATTTAAGAACCAATTCGGGGAAGGCACCTGACCTTGAGGAGGAATGCGGGAAATGTCCGCAGCCTACAGCAGCCACCCCCTACCTGGGGCCAGGAATGTGGGCCCCCAAGAGAGGTATGTGCATGTGGTTGGAAAAAAAGGGGGTGCAAGGTCCACGAATGATACTGATGAAGAACTCCTAAGGTCACCTGAACTCCAGCCTGGGGTTGGACCGGGAGGGTCAAACTCTGAACACTTACCTCTGCTCCTGCAGTGCAGCACCACAGCCTCTCCTGTGCCACTGCCGTTAGTCCCGGAGTCCCTCAGAGCCTGAAGCCAAAGGGATAGCTGCAGCTTGTGTGTGTGTGTGTGTGTGTGCACGCGCGCGTGCATGCATGCGCACACACCGCATGCACGTGTGCTGCTCCTGGGGTTTGAATGCAGGGCCTGGCACTATTCCGGAGCTTTTTTTTTTTTTCCTTCCCGTTAAGATTAGTGCTCTACCACTTGAGCCATTCTCCACTTCTGCCTTTTTGGGTGGTTAACTAGAGAAGAGTCTCATGGGCTTTCCTGCCTGGGCCGGCTTCAAACTGTGATCCTCAGATCTCAGTCTCCTGAGTAGCTAGGATTATAAGCATGTTATCACTGGTGCCCAGTTACTGCTTTTTAACTTGTCAGTCCCACAGAACATCCTGGCCCTTGAAGGGAGCAGATATCTTATGTGGAAACTGAGGTTCAGATAGGGGGTAAATTGGCCACAAGTGTGCTAATTATAGGTTAGGATCTAGGACTAGGAGCTCTGAGTTGGGTCCATTTCTCACAACCCCTGCTGTGGCCAAAGCATTAGAGGTCAACTTGGTCTCTTCCCAGAAAGGAGACTCTGGGACCTCACCCAAACTCCACGGGGTTCCTACTGGGAGTCAGGCTTTCAGAGTAGACACAGGGACTGGGATTCTATGCAGACTAGCTTGCTGTTCCTGGAGAGCCGGGGCTCTGGAAAGCACTGGCAAAGTGGGGGCTCTGCTGCCCTCTTGTGGCCAAATATGTATATGACTGCTATCATGCAAGCCTCCCAGCTGTAGATCTGTTGAGATAAATGGCATCTTCCAATTTCCCTCCTGCTGGGAAGGTTCCAGGAAGGGGGATGAAGCTGGATGAGTATTCTATCATAGGCCAGAGTGTTGGCTGCAAAAAACAAATTGGGAAGGGTGGATGATGCCTGGTGCAATACAGGAAGGCCTCAGGCCAGCAAATAAGGTCCACCCCAGCCAGCAAACGAGGTCCACAAAGCATAGATCCAAAGGTTTCCATGGAGATACCCTAATTAACCAACGCCAGACAGGATGGTTTGAAAATTTAGAGGATATTTATTTCTTGGGATGGTCCACAACAGCTGGCGGGCACCGCTCTCCCTTCCCTAGGGGATTCCTCTCTCCTGTGCGGAGAAGACCCCTCTGTGCTTGGAAGTGCCCGTGGGGAAGCTGGGATGTGAAGAGAAACTATACACACCGCTCCAGAGCCTTAAAAAAATAAATCAATAAACCACCTCTTCCTCCACAAATACACACATATAAAATAAATAGACATATATAAAAGAGAGGCCACGTTCCTCCCACCCAGTCGTGGGGATGCCTGGGAGATGCCGGGTGGTCACGCCCCCCAGCTAGGAGAGACTACAAGGTATGGAAGTGCAATGAGCCGAGAATCAGCCCTGGCTTCAGAGGGAGAAGGGTAAGTCCTCTCCCTGGAGCCCAGTGGGGCAGAATGGGCATAGGGTAGGATGGGACGGGAAATAAATAAATAAATAGATAGAACCCTGCCTGCTCCCAGAGGCCTAAGGGCTTGGGCTGAGGCTCATGCCTCTGGGGCCTGTTTCCCTGAAAATAGCAGATCCAGTGACAAGGTGGGCAGAAAGGTGAGCAGGGAAAACCCAAATTCAAAGTCACACGCCACTGGGCCTGCCTCCAGAGCCTGCATCCTGCACATCAGAAACGGCCCAGCCCTGGATGCCAGCCTCAAAACCCAGAAGAGGGGTGAAGGATAGTCTGAGCTCCCAAGTGGCTGCACACTGGCCCTGAAAGACCAGAACACTGCGCCCCACTCCATCCTGTGCTCGCTGGGGCCAGCCTCCATCCTATCTCCACTGGAAAGGGCTGCGGCGGGTCCCCAGGGTTGGGCCTTTCCTGGGGGAAGCCCAGGGAGAGCTGGCTTTCTCCTGTCTTAGTGGCCTTCCTGACCTGAGCCATCCCAAGGCCAGTTGGGAGATGTTCTGTGTGACTGAATAATCCAAACAATCAGCCCTGGCGTCCTCCTCTGCTTCATTTGGCCAAGGTGTCCCCTCTACCTCCAGTCGGGGCCAACAGGGAGAAGGTGTTGGACATAAGCAAGTACAGAGAAAGGGCAGAAGCTGCCAAATGGACAGTTTGGGCAAGAGGCCAAACCCAACACACAAACGAAGTCCAAGGGACACACGAGTCCCAGGGTCCCTCCTGGAGAGGGCGGGGCGGGCGGGGTGGGGCCGGCTGCTCAGCTGGGCAGCAGCACGTGCTCCAGGAGGTAGGTGAGGATGTCCCAGTGCTTCCAGAGCAGGAAGAGGACGAGGACCAGGAGGGCGGTGCTGGTGATGCGCAGGCGCGTCTTCATGAGGGGCGTGATGAAGTTGGCGATGGTGGACACGAACACCAGCAGCACAGCCATGAGCGCCAGGATCACGTTGATGAACTTGCCCAGCAGCGCCCGCGCGTTGGCGTTCTCCACGCCCTCCAGCTGCACCACTTGCTGCTGCTGCTGCTGCAGCTCCAGCTTGGTGACTCTCGTCAGGCAGGACTCCACAGCCTCCTGTTCGGGCACAGACGGTGGCACGGGGGGGGGGGGCTCAGGATGGGTGGGAGCCCTAGGCTGAGTCCCTCCGGCCCACCATGATTTGCATAGGGTTTGAGGAAGCCTGGTCCCCCATGTGGCGATATTGGAAGGAACCTGTAAGAGGGAGCTTGGGCTGGGCACTGGTGGCTCCTGATGTCATCCTAGCTACTCAGGGGGCTGAGCTCTGAAGATTGAGGTTCGAAGCCAGCCCGGGTAGAAAAGTCTATGAGACTCCTATCCCCAAAACACCACCCAAAAAGCTGGAAGTGGGGCTGTGGCTCAAGTGGCAGAGCACTAGCCTTGAGCACAGAAGCTCAGGGACAGCGCCCAGGCCTCGAGTTCAAGCCCCAGGACTTGCACAAAACAAAACCAAAGAAGGGACTTGGTGGAAAGCAATGAGGTTCCGGGGGTGCTGCCTTCAGAAGGGATTAAAGATGGCATCTTGGAGCCAGTTACTCCCTGTGACAGTGGGTTGTTGTAGAAGAGCAAGTCAGAACCCTGTCTCTCCCTGCGTTTCGGCCTTACCATGTGATCTTCTCTACACAGCTCCTGCCATGCCATCCACTAGGATGGCATCATCAGCACTGGACAGAAGCTGGCACAGAACGAGACCTCTGGAGCTGTGAGCTAGGTGAACCTTTTCTCCTTACCAATTACCTCAGCACAGGCATTCTGTTATAGCAGTAGAAAACGGATTAATACACTACTCCACTGGGGGAGAGCTAAAATACACAGGATCCTCTCTCCAAAGGCCAAGAGGGGCCCAGATGGGTAGCTATAGATGGGAGCAAAGCCCTGTCTGATCACTATTTGGGAGGATGCAAGGAAACAGAACTCTTCGGCTCCCTAGGTGCTGGTGGCTCACGCCTGTAATCCTAAACTGCTCAGGAGGCTGAGATCTGGGGATCATGGTTCAAAGCCAGCCCGGGCAGTCCATCTCCAATGAAGCACTAGAAAACCTGAAGTGGCACTGTGTGCACCATGACCAACAAAAAGAAAAAAATAGAAGCAGAAGTCTTGGTTGATATGGGAAGGAGAGGAGCTAGCCCCATCCCAGCTCCCTGTCAAAGAAGGCCAAGGACTGGAAATCTCAGTTATTTTATTTGCCAGGCCACCACCAGAATAGGGGGGGGGGCGGGAAGCTCTCACCCACCAGCTTGCCTTTGCAGGCCTGCCTTGTTATCTCCACGCTGCCCTGTCTGCTCTGCTCTGCTGGGCCCCTTGCCCCCATGTGACTGCAAACCCCCGTGCTCTACCGGCACGCCCGAGGCCATACCTGGATGTCCCGTGCCCTCTCGTAGGACTGGTAGGCTACCTTCTCCTCCATGCTGGCCAGCTCCTGCTTCAGGTTGGTCATCTCATTCTGGTGAAGCTCAGTCAGGTCGTTGAGCTGCTCCTCCAGCCGCTCGTACCTGGGGGGCAGGGGAAGAGGTGACCCCAGCCCTGCTCCAACGCCACCGTCCTCTCCTCAAGACGCCACCACTCCCTCAGCAAACAGTGACACGTACAGCCTACACATGTGTCCGGCCCTGTTCTCATTTTTTTTTGGGGGGGGGGAAGTTTATTGGTCGTGGAGCCTGAACTCTGGGCCTGAGCAATTCAGCTCAAGGCCTGCGCTCTACCACTTGAGCCACCGCGCCACTTGTGGCTTTTTTTCTGCTTATGTGGTGCTGAGGAATCGAACGCAGGGCCTCATGCAGGCGAGGCAAGCGCTCTACCCCTGAGCCACCTTCCCAGCCCCCCCTGTTCTAATTTCAACCCCACGGCAAAGGGGCTTGCCACTGACAGGAAGCCTGCCTTGTTCACAGGTTTATTATTTTTTTATTCACAGGTTTATTATTACACATGGTTTCCATTAAGTGCTGTCACAAAAATAATAATAAAAAAACTCAAGACCAGGCAATGGTGGTCACAGCTGTAATCCTAGCTACTCAGGAGGCTGAGATCTGAGGATCACAGTTCGAAGCTAGCCCAGGCAGAAAAGTCCCTGAAACTCTTATCTCCAATAAACTATTAGAAAACCGGAAGTGGCACTGTGGCTTAAGCGGTAGAGCTCTTGCTTTGAGCTGAAGAGCACAGGGATAGCGCCCAAGCCCAGAGTTCAAGCCCCATGACTGACAAAAAAAAAAAAAAAAGCCATGAGACTCTTATCTCCATTTAACCAGCAAAAAACTGGAAATCAAGCTGTAAATCAAGTGGTAAGTACCAGCCTTGAGTAGAAAAAGCCAAGAGAGAGTGAAAAGCCTTGAGTTCAAGCCCCTGTACCGGCACCTAAGTAAATAAATGAAATTTCAAAACCAAAAATGTTAAAATTCCCACAGGGTGCCAGGCAATGGTGGCTCACGCCTGTAATCCTAGCTTCTCGAGAGGGTCAAAGGCAGCCCAGATGAGAAAGTCCATGAGACTCTTATCTCTAATTCACCGCCAGGAAACAGGAAGTAGCACTGTGGCTCCAAGTAGTAGAGTGCTAGCCTTGAGTAGAAAAGCTCAGAGACAGCTCCCAGGTACTGAGTTCAAGCCCCATGACTGTCCAAAAAAAAAAATCCCACAGGCTCATTCCTCAGCTCCGTGGATACGAAGAGCTTCGCCAGTGCCGTATCATCCTTAGTTGTGTTTAAATTGTGTGACCTGCTGAGTGTCTCCCTGACATTAATTTTGTGAAAATCTGCCCCCCCAAAATGCAGATGGTACCCACAAAGCAAAGTAAAAAGTTATGACAATCATCCCAAGCCAAAAATGGGTATGTAATGTGCTTAATTTAAGTGACCTGCTGAATATTTGAGATCCGGTGAAAGGCGGCATGTCTTCAGGGGAAGTCGGACCAAGTTTTGGGAAAAATGAATCAAGCCCATGCAGTGCTGAGCTGTGCATCCTGAGCATGCGCAGTGCTGAGCTGTGCATCCTGATACTTGTGGGTACCAAGGGCCTCCTGGACCTTGCACTGGTGCACTCAGGTGCTGGGCCAGGCATTCTATCTGCATGGTGTATTAGGTTCCTCATGTCCCATAAGACAGGGCGTGCCAGCATCCTTCTCATCTGCCAGCCCCCAGAGATGAAGGAAACTGCCCAGAGAATCACACGAATCACACAATTCATGAATGGGGGAGTAAAGGACGTCACACTGGGCTCTCATCCCCTGGGCTGAGAGGCTCTCTGGGGTAGCCGGAGTACCAGGATATACGGGACATGTTATGAAACAGACAAATATCAAGACGACTGTAATGTGGGGATGGTTAGTTTTATTTTGGATGGGGTTCCCATCCCTCTCCCCCCTTTTTTTTCTGTCAGTTGTGGGACTTGACCTCAGGGCCTGGGGTGTTGTCCCTGAGCTTTTCTGCTCTCTACCACTTTGAGCCATAGTACCACTTCTGGTTTTCTGGCAGTTAATTGGAGATAAGAGTCTCATGGACTTTCCTGCCTGGGCTGGCTTTGAACCACACTCCTCAGATCTCAAGCCTCTTGTGCAGCTAGGCTTACAGGTGTGAGTCACAGGTGCCTGGCCTCTGCGCCCCCCACCCCCCTTAATTCCACAAACCTTCCTAAGAGGAAAAAGCACCAAGCAAGGAAAAGGTCCCCACACTCTCAAGGAGCAAGTGTTATATCAGAGGCTGTTGGGAGGGGGACCTGACTTGGGCTCAATCCCAAACTGGCCATCAGTGTATCCCCTGGGTGTTGGAACGGTCCATGCTACATACATAGGCACTCAAGGAAGTCTGGCTCCATTCAGTCTCCCTTAGAGCCTCGTGGAGGTATAAAGAACAGCGCTACCCTCCCTGTGCCCAGAGCTAACCATCCCTTGGCTCGGGTTATACGGTAAAATACTTGAATGCAGCAGGAGGTAAGCTGCCTCAGAGTCAGTGATCTGGCCAGACTCTACGGTAGGCGAGAGGTCTGCCTCAGTTTCCCCTTCTGGACACCCATCTCACCCACGTAAGCCAAGAGGTCCCCATGCGATCAGACCTCGGGCAGCCCCGGGGTGACACGGCCTCCTGCCCCCTACCTGTAGCGCTCCTCCTGCAGGCACTGGGTCATGTAGGAGTAATCCCTCTGCAGCTGGGTCTTCAGGTCCTCCATGGAGTCCTCCAGGTGGGACTGGCCCTCCTTGATCTCCCGCAGCTCCTCCAGCAGGGCGTCCAGGTTCCCGGGGGCGCCGTACAGCGCGTTGGCGCGAGGGCTGCCCAGCGCGCCCGCCGGCCCCGCGGCGCCCGAGTTGCTGCCCGCGCCGGCCGAGCTGGCGCTGGCGCTGGAGCACTCGTCGTCGCTGCCGTACTTGGGGCTGGACACGAGCGTGGCGCTGCCGCTGAGCGCGCGCGCCGCCTCCTCGGGCCCCGCGTCCTCCAGGGGGTCCTTCAGGTGCGCGATGTTGTCCGCGCTGCCGAACTTGTTGCGGATGAGGCTGGCGAACTCGCGGGGCTTGGACACCACGGCCGAGTGCGTGGCCTGCGACAGGCCCGACAGGCTGCCCTTGACGCCCTCCACCACGCCGCCGCCGAAGCCGCTAATGCCCGCGCGCACGTTGGCGCCCACGTCCTTGAGCCCCTGCTGCACGTCCCGCAGCACGTCCTTGGGCTGCCGGGACGGCCCGTTCTGCTCGATCTCCCGCAGGCGCCGCCGGTAGTGCTCCAGCTTCTTGTGCAGCTGGGCGATGGTCTGGGCCGACTTCTGGTTCTTCTTCTCGAACACCTGCTTGATGCGCGACACCTGCTGCTTGTCCGCGTTGTTGGCCAGCTTCAGGTACTCCGCCACGTTGTCGTCCCGCGCCTCCTGCTCGATCTTGATCTGCTCGGTGATCTTCAGGATCTTCTGGTGCAGGTGATCGATGGCGGCCTTGGTGCGCTGCGGGTCCGGCGCCCCGTCGGGCACGTCCAGGCTGATGGGGCCATCGCTGTCACCATGGCCAGGGCCGGAAGGGAGGCTCAGGGCCGCCAGGTCACCTTTGTCACCCTGGGGAAGGAGACAAGCAGAAGGAGCCCGGCTAAGTCACCGGCCCAGAGGGAAGGAAGGGATCGCTGGGACTCAGCGCAGGCCTGCATACCTCGGGACTTGGTCTCCCCTGGGAAAACGCTTGCAGTATGAACAGGAAGTTTTAAGGGGAAAAAGTCTACATGAACACCAACAACAGGACTCTCTCAGCAATTGAGCTTAGGCTGGCGGGGCTTAGAGCATACCCACATTTCTCTCCCCAGCCCCACACTAAAATGCACACTAGGCAGATCTGCTCTGCCAGTTGGCCCAGGGAAGTCTAGTAAGTTACTCTGTGACACACAGCTATGAAAAAGAACTGCTGGGCACAAGTGGCTCACTCCTGTAATCCTAGCTACTTAGGAGGCTGAGATCTGAGGATGGTGGTTCAAAGCCAGCCCAGGCAAGGAAAATCCATGAGACTCTTATCTCCAATAAACCACCAGAAAACCAGAAGTGGCACTGTGGCTCAAGAGGTAGAGTGCTGGTCTTGAGCTAAAGAGCTCAGGGACAGCGCCCAGGCCCACAGTTCAAACCCCATGACCGACCAAAACGAAAGAAAGAAAGAAAGAAAGAAAGAAAGAAAGAAAGAAAGAAAGAAAGAAAGAAAGAAAGAAAGAAAGAAAGAAAGAACTTCCATCCCAGAATCCTTGTTGCTTGGACACAAGGAGGAACCCAAGAAGGGCTCCAGCGGGCTGTAGCCTCGGTGGAAAGTCCCACGGTGGATTTCTCAGGGATGAGATGAACTGTTTCTTTGGACTCAACCTATCCAAAAGGCACTTGAGGGGGCTTCTCAGAGCTGATCAAAGCCCCTCCCCTGGCCCTGCCCTCCCCACAGCCCCATCTTCACTAACACAGCTGTGTAGGTGACCCACCCCTGCTGACACGGCTCCCAGATCCTCAGTTACCTTCCCGCTCTCCGAGGTTGTCCGCAACCTCTTCCGCTTCATGATGGGGTGAACACCCAGCCCTTCTGTCTCCCAGAAATGGGACAGTGGGCGTCCACCGCCCTGCTCGCCTGGCCAGCAGGAACTGAAGTCCCAGAGGTAACCCACAGGCCCAGGGAAGCAAGGAGCAGCCTGGGGGGGGGTCCAAGGGGACCAGCAGGACGTAGAGAATGTGCAGACAGGCCCTAAGAGCCCCTCTGTCCCCCACCAGGCAGGTGGGCTTCCCCAGCACATCAGGATGGCACAAAACTCAAAGGAAGGAGAAGGGAGGGACAGAGAGAGGCTGGGGATGAGGAGGCGGAGGAGGAAGGCAGGAAAGGTCACAGAAGATAGGAAGGACGGCTGGGGGGTTGGATGTGAGCGGCCAGGCCTGGGGCTGCTGCCCTGTGCTGTTGGGGGAATCTCTGTCCACAGCTGAGTTTCTGTGCCTTATCACCACGCAACAACGGAAGCAGCAGGAAATGGCTCAACCCCGTGTATTTTTACACACAGCACACCCCAAGTAAGGCTAGGTCAGATCATGGGAGGGGAGGGAGGAGGGCAGGGAGGACTGTTTGTGGGGGTTAGAAACCCAAAGAAAGTGTCCTAGTCACACACACTGGCTCCAGACACAGCCCATGCCAACTGCAGGCAGAAGTCACTTGCTCGATTTCTGCCAAGGTATTGGGGGGGGGAAGAACAACCCACAAAACAACAGCCTGGACAAACTCAGAGCCCAGGGAGGGTGGTTCCTCTCTGCTTCCTCTGGGGCTTTTTTCAGGTCATAGGTCCCCTGAGGATGCTGGGAGGAGGGCAGTCCCTCCCCTGATCACTCCTGAACTCAGGACTTTCCTCTTGGGTTTCCCCTCCATTCTGCATGAGGTGTTTTTGCCTTTGGGCTCTCATTTCAGACTCTTTGACCTTCTATACCCAAGGAGCCAGTTCTAGTCCCCCTTAAATCTGTCAGGAGGTCTGGCTCACCAGCTTGACATAAAACCTGCCCTCCTCAGCCGGGCGCTGGTGGCTCACGCCTGTAAATCCTAGCTACTCAGGAGGCTGAGATCTGAGAATCGCGGTTCAAAGCCAGCCTGGGCAGGAAAAACCGTGAGACTCCTATCTCCAATAAACCACCAGAAAACCGGAAGTGGCGCTGTAGCTCAAGTGGTAGAGCGCTCGCCTTGACCTGAAGAGCTGAGGTACAGCGCCCAGGCCCAGAGTTCAAGCCCCACGACCGACAAAAAAAAAAAAAAAAAAAAAAAACCTGCCCTCCTCGCGGAAATGGAGGAACAAAGGGCGAACAAAGGCAGCAGAGGGACGTGCTAGACCCTGTGTTGAAAATGAACTATACAACATGTGGGGGGGGCTGGGAGGGGACACTGGGAGCACAAGGGATGGGGTGGCATTGTCCAAAAAGAAATGTACTCTTTACCTGACTTATGTAACTGTAACTCTGCCCATCACCTTTATAACAACAAGTTAAAAATTAAAACACCCCCCCCCCTGCTCTCCTGTCTTATTCCCAGCAGCGATGGCAAACAGCACATCTCTCCTTGATTTTCCTTGCCTGCAAAATGGGTGTAATCACACCCCCTTGCCTAGTCTCCTGGGAAGGTTACAGAGGATGATCAGGGAGCGCTTAAGACAGCAGCAAGCAGAAGGTATTCGTTAAGTGTTAAGTCTGGATCTAGGTAGCATCATAGCCACTGCAACCCCAAGGCGGGTGTAGAAAAACCTGCAGTCATGCACTCTTAAGTGGAAATGAATGTACCATTCAGCGTACTCAATATTGACAGATCTACACAAAATTAAGTGCCATATGCACTTAAGAGCTCGGCCTTCTTATCACGGGCCCAACCCTCCCTGGTCAGAGGGTTTTGTTAGTAACGAGTTTGCTTTAATGGGGAGAGGAGGGCGCTTTGTCCCACCTGCTGGGATATGGAAGAACTGAGAAACAGGCCCAGTAATGTTGTGGACAGAGAAGGAGCTTGAGGACCTGGAGAGAGGGGAAGCGAGCCCAGCCCCTGCCTTCTCTGGCAGTGCTCTCTCCTCCCTCCATCTGGCATCTGCCTGGCTTTTAGAAATGGAAAAGCAGGGTTGAAACTGGTTGTGAAATGCCCACAAAGGAGATCGCACACTTGTGGGGCCCGACAGTTGGCATGGATAAGCCTGGCACCAGGTCCCTTTTCCCTCTCTGAGGCTCCTGTGGCAGATACCAGCTCTGCTCTGGCCAAAGGACCCCTGGGTGATGCAAATCCCCCCCATCACAGAACGTTCCCCCCTGTGAGGACTCAGCTCTATGAGCACCCAGGACGAGGGCATCTTTGCCATTTGGCCCCTCAAAACACTATTCTAAATGGCCCGTGATTGGCTGTACCATTCAGATAGATGGTGACATCACTGCCTCCCCCTCTATGGACATGTGCTGGGTACAGCTCTCCAGGCTTTCCAGTTAACTCATTGAGTCCTGGGAATGGCCCCATGAGGCAAGAGGTGTCACTTAGTCTCATTCTGCAGGAGAAGAAGCCAAGGTCTACAGATGCTAAGCACTCTGCCCAGGGCTACAGAACTAGAGAAGGAAAGCTCTAGGATTCCAATCCTGTCTGCCTCCCAGCCCCAGAGCTTCACCCTTACCCTGGAGAGCAGGGCATTGTGCTTTGCTAACAGTCTTGTCCAGAGGTCCTGGCCACCCCTGACCTTCCCAGAAGCGAATATGCATATGAGAATGAGCCCATGAGAAAGGGGAAGTGGGGGGGGCATTGGGGCTGCCACACTAAAGCAATTTAGCCCCTTGCATCTGAATGAACACTCTAGATGGTGGCCATTGGCACGGGCTGAGGAACAGGGATGTGAGTTCACCCCTGCCTACAGCCAGGATGATGGCCTCGGGAAAGCATCTGGGGTCTTCCACTAGCCACCTGCTCATGTCCTGTGGTCCCCACGCTGCTCATCAAGGAAGCAGGAAGGGATTCAGAGACACAGCTAGGGCCAGCAGGGAGGCAAAGATTCTAGATGCTAACAGGAAATACCAGACATTTCCCCTACCTCTTCCCTCTAGGGTCTTAAGTGCAGACTCCCATTTCTGAAGGGAACTTTATATTCCCCAGGTCCCTTAGCGGCTGAGCTTCCTGGCTTTAAGTGAAAAAGCAGAATGGAAGATGGCTATGAAATCCCCATGAACTAAGAGCAAGACACACACTGTCAGGGCGCCCAATGGGGTGGTGACTGGGAGTCCTGTTCCCCTCTGCAGCCCCTCTTCTCTGGCACAGACTCCCGTGGGGAAGTTCACAATGGCTGCCTGCCACCTGCTGGCACCCCTCCCCCTGGGGTGGGAGGAATTTCTCCAGCTACAGGCCCCTTGGCAACAGTTCCTTTCAAGACAGGAGCAAAGCTGCAAGCTGGTAGCTGCTGCTGTCATTGTAGCTACTCAGGAGGCTGAGATCTGGAAAACTGTAGTTCAAGGCCAGTTGGGGCCGAAAAAAGTTTGTTATATTCTATCTCCAAATAACCAGCAAAAATCAGGGATAGAAGCATTGCTCAAGTAGTAGAGTGCCAGCTAAGCAAGTAGAAAGACATTAAGTACTGCCAAACAAAACAACACAAAACCTAGAGGTTCACGGAGTTATACAGAGCCATGAATGGAGCTGGTAGATGGAGACAAAGAAAAAAAAAAGGTTTAACAAAGAAAGGAAAGTTAGAGAAGGGAAAGATGAGGGCTTGTCAGATGATGGGACAGCATCAAACATGAAAAGAGAAAGAGATCTGTAGAGAGAAGAAGAGAGATGAGATCCCCACCTGTGCCGGGCAATGGGAAGGGCCTAGATTCTGATTTAGAATCCTGGCTCTGTTGGACACCAGCTGTGTGCCCTTGTGTTACGCCATTCCTCTCTCCAAGACTTGCTTTTCTCATGTGGAAAAGCAAGGTTGTTCTGCCTGCCTCAAAGCATTACCAGAGGATGAAAAGAGGGCCTATACCTCAGGACTCAAAAATAAATATAAAGGCTGGGTGCCGGTAGGGGGCAGTGGTGGCTCACGTCTGTAATCCTAGCTACTCAAAAG